AATAATAATAACATTCAATCAAATTCGCAAATACATCTTGCAATACACATTTAATGATGTCCGCCACATATTTCCTTAGATTAAATATATATTAATATTAATATATAACCATGTATTTTCCACAAAAGTATCCGCAATTTACGCAGCATCGTGAGAATATCCAATTTTATATATGAGGATGATTTCTAGTTAGGTCTGACCTTTATTCCTGTGTTCAGAGGGATACAGCTTTAGCCTGGCGAGGGATAAATATAAATGCACTGATCACTGGCCCGTAGATCTTGAGTGAATTATCCGACTGATACCAAAGATCGATAAGATTGATAAAGGGGATAAAGGTGTAACCTTTTGCATGGGTTGGGGTTGGGTGTGTGTTATCCTTATTTAGAAATCGATTGGTGATTGCGGATATATATTTCTTTCATGAAATGAAAATAATAATAAATAATAAATTGTGTCTTCCACATTGATTAGTATAGTAATGACAGGAAGTATTATAAATCATGAAGACTTTTTATTCCAATACGAAAATTGAATAGGGATGTTGGCCGATAGAAAAAACCTTAGTCAGCTAAAAACTTCATTAAATCCCAGTTGATGAAAAAACCTTTTAGATGATACAAAGTCTGTCAGTATTATTATCACTACAATTGTTATTACTATTATTACTATTGTTATTACTATTAATGGTTCGAATAAGGTTCATTCGGATTATTGTTTTATTCATTATGAATTTGAGTACTCACAAAGAATTTGAATAAAGCAAATAGTAATTCAAGGATATTTGTATTACAAACAGAAATTCTAACTATGACTTTTATGTGATTTATTATATTTTGTTTTTGAGCAAATGTATGTTTTTTTTTGTCATTCTAAGTAATACAGGTGGACCCATCTCGACTAAATGACTATGCCATAGAATTCTGCACTAGAATTCCAGATGTAAAAATGAATGTTAAGAGATTTTTTTTTAGCCGGTTAAGCTTTTAAAAAATTCTTATCTGGCTATGCCAATAAATTTCTTAGCTGGCCAACATCACTAATTAGAAGTTGATAATGACCATTTGCAAAGGAGTAAAACACTATTCCATATTTATTTATAAGAGAAACATTGTAATTCTTTGTAGTAAGTGTTGTAATCTTTTGACAATGTTGTAATTCTTTGCAATGACATTATAATTATTTGCAATAATTGTTGCAGCAGCGTTGTAATTATTTGCGGCAATGTTGAAATTTTTTGCATTTTTTCAACAATTGTTGTAATTCTTTGCATCAGCATTATAATTATTCAGCAGCGTTGTGATTATTCACAGCATCATAATTTTTTTTCTTAAAAAAGAAAAATAGGGTGACACAAATAAAAAAAATTGCCACAAATTAAAATTTTTTATTACTGTTGTACGTGACGTGAAAATGAAATTATTCACAATTCACTCAAATTTACATATTAATATGTGAAATTCAAATTAGCCAATCAGAATTTCACCCCACTCCATAATATTTCAATTTCACATACAACATTTTTACCATTTCTTTCTTTAAAGGATCATACCGACGTTGGCTGGCTACATCTAATGTCAACACCACCATCATTAATTAAATTATAAAACAATAAAATTAAATTTGGAGTTTTATTTATTAAGTTTGCGCCAATCCAGTCTTTTAAGAATTTGTTTTTGTTGCACATATTTTTAGGTTCAATTAATTCGTGTAATTAAAGTTTTAGTTTCATACAAAATGTGTAAATAGATTTCGTGTAACAATAATAACAATCTTTCTTTTAACAGAAAAAGGTGAAAGAAAGAACGGTGGTGAAGCAAGATTGATTAATTAATATCAATTAAATAAAGCAAAATTTGTTTTCATATTATATTTTTAAGCAAACATGTTTTATAAAATTTCCCGGTTTTTTACATAAAAAAAAAAATTTTTTAAATTAAATATAAATCTTGTAAAGAAATTTATGTTATTCAAATTGTCTTTATATTTTGGAATGTGAATCGCGTTCACGCACCAGATAAGAGAATGTACTATTTAACCAAAACCAATTACCAGTCAGCAGGAAAAATTGTCTTTGTTAAATGCAAAACAATAGAAGTTCTCAGCTACACGATTTGTTTATATTTGTGTAATAAATTTATTTACCAAAAAAAAATTATAATTATAATAATACCGAATGAGTGTCTAGTATAAATATCCTCCTTACATTTCTTAAAAAAAAAAAATAAAACTAATAAATTTTTTAATTAATCTTTTATAAAAATGGAAGAAGAAATTGAAATAGTGACAGATAAAAGTGAAGTATCAGAAAATAATACTAAAAATCCGACTACAAATTATATAAGTGTTAATGCTTTTGAAAAGCGAACTATAATTGATACACATAATGGACATCCAATTGATGAAATAAAGTGTAGTCCTAATTGTAAATTTTTAGTAACTCTTAGTAAACAAGACAAATCTATCGCTGGATGGACAGTTAATCCTGATGAAGGAACAATTCAACAAGATGGTCATGATAATTATTTTAACACTGATTATGTAGAAAAGACATGTATAATAGATGTTTCAGATGATAAATATATGCTTCTTCTTGTATGTGATGATTATTACAGTAAGTAAATATGATTATTTATGTGTATTATATTATTTATAAGCAATAAATAATAATAAAAATTTGCATCATTTAAAACTAATTTTATAGGATCACAATTACTTGACTTTTCAAAAAAACAAACGTATGATTATCCAATTGGTAGTGACTTCAAAGGTTTCATTACAAATAATGATTTTATAATAATAAGCCAGAATTCTTTATACAATTTTTCATATAGAAATGATAAATTGGTTCATAAATCAAAATATCAAATTTATGGTTATTATCATAACATAAATACAGATTATTTTGTAAATTCTAATTATTTTCTATTAAGTGATAAATATTCATTATTATCACGATGGAATCTGACAACTATATCATATCAAGATAGTTGTTATTTAATATGTAGAAAAAATCATACTGATATAATATTAAATCAAAACAAAACAATAATGGCATTATATTATAAAGATAATTCAAAAATAATAATTTACTCAATAAAACATAATATTATTATTTCTTCATGTAAGTATTATTTAGCTTTTTTTCTTTTTTATTTTCTTTATTTGTTTATTTAATTATTTTTTATCTTACAATTAAGTTGGAAAAAGATATCACTATGAAGAAATTAGATTTTATTTATATAAAAAAAAGTCAATTAGAATGTTTATTATTAATATTTTATGATAAAAATATAAATAATTACATTTATAAATTAAAAGATCCTTATAATTTAGATAAATCTATAGAAATTACATATAAAGAATACAAAGATAAAAATGATATCATATTTGGACCAACCATGCCAGATAATAAAATAGTTATGACTATTAACAATCAAATCTACATTAAAGAAATTATTAACAAAGAAAAATTAGACACTTTTCAACAAATACATATAAAAAATAGTTATTATTTATATTTATATATAGTACAAACATTAAGTGAAATATATGAAAAGCTTGATGACAAGGATTATAAAATACCAAGCAAATTTGTTATAGAAACAGGAAAAACCATTAAATGGTCAGTAAAGTATAATAGCAATATAAAAGCTCAAAAAGTTGATAATGAAATAAAAGAAGGATTTACAACAATTGATGAGTATTGTCTTAGGAATTATGAAAATTTTAAATATTGTCAATTACTAAATAATGATGATTTAATGTTAATAACAAATGTATATATACACATTTTGTCATTTAATAATCAAAGTTCTAAAACAGTTACAAAGTATATTAAAAAAAATTACTATTGTTCATTAAAAGCAACAAAACAAATTAAAACTGCTATAGAAAAGAATAACATTGAAGACTATTTATTTAATTTTAATAATGTTACTGAATATGGTTATTCATATATTGATAGACATCAAATTTCCAGACAACCTTATAAAGAAATGATTTTATATATGTTGGATGATTTATATAATTTCAAACATGGAGAGAAATTATTAGGATTAGCATTAAAAGTAAATGATAGCATGCTTGTAGAAGTATTATTTGACTCCTGTCTTAAATATTTTAAAAAGGATACAGCTACAAATATTAGTTTATTAAAAATAATTATATCAGAATTACCAAGATTGCAAAAAAATCATCAAAAATTATCAAAATTCTTTAATCAAACTTCAATGATATTATTTCCATTTAATGATAACATTTCTAATGAAGAAATAACTTATAATGCAATGGTTAATGAAAATTTTATTTCTAAAGATAAATGGTTTAAGTTTAGAAGGTCCAGAATATTTAGAATATCTGAATTTTTTATTATAACTATAATATTTATAACACTTGGAATATTTATAATTTTTGGAATATTTATAATGATGTTATACAATAGTTACAATAGATATGATTCTAAACCTTGTGTAAGATTGATAATTCCATATCCTGGATTACTTAGATACAAACCCAAATACTCATTATTGAAAGAATTATTATATAAGCCAGATTAGCATATTTGTTGAATTAGTTGAATTAGATACTTTAGAATTATACAAGCATTTGAATATTGAACTAATTTTGGATTATAAATGGAACACTTTTGGATTTAGATATTATATTGGAATATTGATTTTTTATATAGTATTTTTATTAAGCTTTGCTATTGCAACTTCCA